GCGATGACCAACCAATAACGTAGTGAAAAGAATTGTTCATTCTTTTCAGTAAACCATCTAGATTGATTGTTGTTGCAACTTTGATTGAGTGCAGAATAGTTGATACTATAGTTATGGAACTGAAGTATATAGTCATCAGTGCATGCAGACCTGATTGGTCACATGGACAATGCAGAGTTAATGACTCGCATCTGAATGATTATTTTGAAGATAGTCGTCCTATTTTCTATTTCTAACCGGGGAATGCAACGAACTGAAGAAGTTCATTGCTCAGAAAAAGGAAAAATTCAACAACTATCCCCGCAACCGAAACAGCAACAGCAATGACAACAGCAACAACGGAAAATTCTCCAAATCTCATAGTACTGAAGACTTTCATGCCATGATTCGTCAGACCATTCGAGAAGAGACCCCTTCCATCATCAACGACACTGTTGCAGCTTTGATGAAAGCTCAGAAGAAACGCGAGCGTGAGGATTACAACCAAATTGAAGATATCTCCTCCTCCCTCGCTGGCCAGTTGCATGTTAATGAATACGAAACCTGACTACCAGGGCCCGTCAAAGACTTCTTTTCGCTAACATCAGAAGAAGATAGCGATAGTCATAACTATAGTAAAAGCAGATGCTTTACCTACAAGAATGCTGTATTAGATTTTCATAATCTAGATCTCATTCTACCTCGTCAATTGGAATTAGAAGCGAAGCTTCAATCCACCGATTCATATGTTTTGTCTTCGAAACGCAGGATCACGATGTCGACTCCTGTTCTCCATATTAGGATCCAAGAGAAACTTGGTACACCTAAATGTAAAACCATTCGAGCCCTATTAGACTCTGGAACGTCGAGTACGATCCTAGATTTGCGTCATGCCAAGAAGTTGCGCGTCAAACGCGCCTCAACAACTTCATGGGCTACTGCAGCAGGTACCTTTGAAACCAGCCAGAGAGCTAAGGTCTGCATGCAATTACCGCAATTATCCGAATCGCTTACCATTGATACAGATGTTCATTTGGCTAAGTCAATCTCCCCACGATACGATATGATTATCGGCCGAGATCTTATGAGGGAGCTGGGTATCAAGATGGATTTCGAATACGACATGATCGAATACCAAAACTTGTCTATTCCCATGACTGATATAAACGAATTGGATGCTCTGAACGACCTTCAATTTATCACCGGTATTAAGGAGCCAAAAAGCACAGCGGAAGCCGTTGAGCGTGTGAGCAAGATTTTAGACGCAAAATATGCTCCAGTTCTGTGAGATGATCAGAAACGAACTCTCAAACCTATTCTAGAAAAGCATATTAAGCTGTTCGATGGAACACTTGGCAAATGGAAAGGCGTACAGCACAAGCTTGAATTGAAAGATCCAAATTCACCGCCTTCTTTTACGTGTCGACCATATCCAGTTCCAGTGAAGAATAAGCAGACGCTCATGCTGAAAATCGAACGTCTCTATGTGAAATTGGTGTTCTTCGGAAAGTGAATAACTCCGAATATCAATCACCTAGTACAATTATTCCAAAAAAGGATCTGACTGTAAGATTTATTACAGATTTCCGCAAATTAAACACGCTAATCAAACGCAAACCATATCCAATCCCCAATATTCGGGACACCCTCCATGAATTGGAAGGTTTCAAATATGGTACCAGTCTCGATCTTAATATGGGATATTATCATATCGAGCTTTCTCCAGATTCGAGAAAGTATTGCACTATTGTGTTTCCTTTCGGCAAATATGAATATTTGCGATTGCCTATGGGCTTGTGCAACAGTCCCGACATTTTTCAGGAACACATGTCCGATCTTATGCATGATCTTAATTATGTTCGTGCGTACATTGATGATGTAGCCATTCTATCTACCACTACTTGGGAAGATCATCTTGAGAAAATCGATAAAGTCTTAACCAGATTAGAAGACGCCAGTGTTAGAACAAAGCAAAATGTGCTCTATTGTGAGTGCCTTTAGCGCTCAGAACAAACTCTCTGCAATCTAAATTCGTAATCGACTGTACAACACTTTCACGACAATAGTTCTCCTGTGTCTAGGTATACTTTGAGT